GACTCGATGGCACATAACAACAAAAACAACAACAAATCTGTCTGTCTTAACTCTTTCCAATTATGAAAAATGCATCATTGTGAGAACACACTGATTTTTGTGAAAAAGTTTTACCTTTACTGTAATTTTACATGTTATCAAAAACTAACCATACATGATTTTTCTAAACAATTCTGTTTTCCAGGAGAGAGATCATCAACATTCCTTGAACGCCACACATCGTGCTGATAAAATTCCTTTCCTTCAATCACTCAGTATGCCAAGGTAAAGGACAGCTCAGTAATTTTTCTTTCTTTCTGTTCTATGGGCTGATTGCCCCACAAAAATGTAGTCCATGGCGGATTGTTGGCAGTACTTCTTGTTCTTCTACTACATGGTTTATCTTAAATAAATTGCCCAATCCTTAAACTTCATCTTACCTTTTACCAGCCGAAAGCATTCTAAGAGACCTACTTGTGCTTAGAAATAATGGAATATTTCAATATTACTTAGTTAAAGCCCAGAATCAACATTATCTCCTAGGATTTCAGTATGATCTCTGATTAAAGGGGTAACTGTCATCTCCTGGCACCTTTACTACTGTAATTTCTGTCTCTTTTAATAAGATTCTAGAGATTTCAGATTCTATTTGCTTTTCAAAAGGGTGAAATCTCTAAATTATATCTTACTACAAGATTTTCCTACCTTTAAACTCTGACATAGTAAAACCTACCTTTAGTCATTTCTCTAAAATGTATTTTTTAGTCAAATGTAGAACCTTAGTAAATTTTTATTTAATTTCTTAACTTGGTACTTTTAACACATTTAAAATAACAATATGTTCTTTTTTTCCTTTTGAATATATGTAAAGATAAGGGAACAAAGCATATTTGGGTTCTGTATAAAGTGATAATGGATGATACATGAAACCTAATTTACTTTCTTTTCCTTTTTTATTTTCTTTTTCTCTAGTCCTCCTAGAACTCCAGTGAAAGTTGTGCCTCAAATTAGAATAGAACTTGAGCCTGAAGACAATGATTATTTCTGGAGGAGCAAGGGAACAGAAACTTCATTGTAACCCATTTGTCTTTCTTAATACTGACAATTTTTGTTCTTTATGTTCTTGGGGTTTTTTGGTTGGGGTTTGTTGTTTTCCCTTTCTTTCCTTTCCTTTGGTTATTTGCTTAGTTTGGAAATTTTTATTTTGTCTTCTGTTTTTGTTCACTGGCCAAATAATATAGTGCTCTCTCTGCTTTTCTTTTGCATAGGTAAAATCAAGACACTAGTGCACCGTTCCTTATAAACCTCATCTGAAGAGTCCTCCTTTGTATCTTATACTTTCAGATGTGTCCTCTGACAACCAAATTACTCTGTCATGCACTCGAGACATGCACAGACCCTGTCCCCTTCCTTTCTTACATGGAGGGCAAAAGTATTAAGGATTTCATGGCACCCTTTATTAAAACTCTGAAGGAACTTAACCACTTTAGCTTTGGAGCTGTGCTTACTGGCTTGCCTCTCTGTCTGATGAAAGAAACTTTGACCTGCAGGCAGATTCTGTTCTTGCTTATAGAGCTCTCCAGGACTGGACAAAGTGCTGCTACTCTTACTTGTTCTTGCTTGTAAACCCTACTCTTAGAGTTATCATCAAAAGAAGAAAAACTTAAGGTACTTTACTCCCTGTAGAAAAACTATTGCCATCATTGTAGCAAGTTCTGGAATGTCCCTTTTCCTATGCAACTTTTTTTAACCCTTTAATGAGCTTCTCTGTTGAGTACATTGAAGAATATTTTTCTTCCTAGATTTTGTTGTTTAAATTATGGGGGCCTAACCTGCAACTTACTTTTTGTCAATTTTTTAAACTTTTTTTTAATTACTGTAAAGAAAATGAATTTTTTCCTGCAGCAGGAAACATAGTTTTGAGTAGTTCTACCTCTTATTTGTAGCTGCCAGGCTTTCTGTAAAAAATTATATTGTATATAATGTGATTTTTACATACACACTCAAACAAACTTTGGGGTAAGCCAGAAGGCTGTATCAGACTAACAGCACCATGTTTTTGAACATCCATTTCCCCCTTTCTTTATAACTGTTCAGTGAAGGAGATGGGATGAGAAGGGAGTGACTCCTATAAATTAGGAATAGTTGATGGTATGATAATAGTGGTATCCAGGCACAAATATTGATTGTATTACCATGTCATTGTCCTATGCAGTATTGTTAGATATTTTTTCACTTTGAAATATTTGTGTGTTTATGTACATACTCTGTGTGTGGCTGGTGCACACAGGTGCAAAGTTAGAAAGAGAAAGATTGCTAGTAGCTTAAGCTTAAGGACAAACTTACCAAGTTTCCTATGTCAATTTCATATAGCCTAAAACACATAAGAAAAAAAACAAACAAACATGAGCGGTCTAAGATATTTGTCACTATGCAGATAAAGACAGACAAATGTTATTGCCCAGACGCCAGTCACAATAGCCCAAATATATAGTATATAAAGTCCAGAGAAATATTGATAGGCCATTTGCACATCTATACAGTATATATGGGAGTGCAGATAGATCTGCAGAGGTCTCTGGGTATACACTTTAAGAATATTTACACACATTTTTAGGATGCAAAGGCAGTTTTCCATTGTGATAAAGACATATAAAATATGTGTGTGTGTGTGTGTGTGTGTATATGAATACATATATACGTATGTGTGTGTGCTTCAGAGTTCCATATTGAAAATTAGACCTCTATTAACCAAATTTAGCATGGTATTTAAGCATAATGCTTTTAATAAGTTGCATAATAAACTGTGAACTTGCACTAAAAGTAAATTTTGGATCCTTAATCTTGGACCCATATAACCACATTCATAATATACCTAACTATAGAAGGTTCTTGAAGGAGGTCTAGAAGCAGAATGAAACCACTTATTCTTCTTTTAAATTATAATTCTGTCCTATGGAAATTTTTTTCCCCACCCCCCTATGGAAATTTTGATTATAAAATTTTCATTATCTGAAGTATCTTTTTCTTCTGTAATTTCTAATACTTAATTTTATACAAATTAAAGATAAATGACCTACAGTTGGGTTTTTTCCCATGAAAATGATAGTATGAGAATTCCATGTTGTTGTGTTAAAACTTTGTATTTAGAGCTTATTCAAAAGCCATTATTCTATACATCTAGTTTTTCATTTCCCTAGTAGGAAAATACATAAGGAACTTTTTTAAAGCTGCCATGCATAATTAGTTGAGCTCATCTATAATTCTGTTAAAGATATTTTTATGTACCTTTATAAAAGCTCTCATTCTAACACAGTTTTTCCTGAGGATTCGTGTCCTATGTTTTTCAGAAACTTTCTGAAGCAGCTTACATCATCTTTTAAGCTTTAAGTAGATCTAAAAACTATCTTTGCATTCACTGATGATCTGTCTTTTGTGATGGCAAGGTGTATTCATGATATGACCACAGAGTAGTACCTCACATTTGCTGAAACAGTTAATATCAAACTCTTTCAATATTCTAGAATACCAGAGAAGTTTTAAAATAATTATTACTTTCAGAGAAACAGAAGAAATCACCACACCACACAACAAACATAACATAAGGTCCAAAAAGAGTTCTATTATCTGTAACAGAATTGCTGACTGGCTTTGTTTCTATGTAAACAAGACCCAGTAGAATATAACAGTACATTTGTATGAAGTATTTCTTCCTGGTGGGAATTGAGAGAAAAAAGATTCCAGGTGCTAGAAGGACAAAATGTGCACTAAGCATTGTAACCAGAAATTCTGTGATTGTAGAAAATTATTATTGGAAAGAAGGAAATCAAAGTGATGTAAAGTTTGCCTTCTCAAAGGAACATTAAGAGTTTGTAATTGTAGAAGTACTGTTGGAAAGAGATCAATATGAGGGTGTGCCTAATCAAAGGAACATAAATGCCTCTGATATTATGTTTGAAAGATTATCTCTTGGAGATTCTATTTTCTTTTGTAAAAGTCACTTTTCTGTACTATATAAAATAACTTTTGGAATCCTGATTGTTTTGTGTGTCATAATCAACAGTAGTTTACTTTGCTCCTTGTTTCTGCCAAACAGTGAGGTTGAAGAGGAGACAGGTGGGGAGAAGTAAGGAGAGACTTAGTGAAAAAATAGGAAAACAAAAGAACCTCCCATTCCAGCTCTCTTCCCCCCAACTAGGAGAATGAAAGGGGTGTAATTGACCAACCATCAGTAATTTGGTTTGTGTGTATTTTATGCACGTGCACCAACACACACAGAGTAAATCTTTTTATCAACTCCATTCTGGTGTTTAGTATAGAGAATGACTGTCTTCTGAGATTTGGGGATTTTTTTTTTAAACTGTGTTAAAGTACATAAAATGTATTGACTGCTGAATCATATCTTTAAAACAATTAAATCATTCTAATTGTATTAATAGAGGTTGACATTGTTCAGGGATGGGACAAAGTTTTCTTCAATACTTTTCATACCACTTAATGATTTTGGTGCATAAATCTGAGATTTTCTTATTCTTATTTCTTGACATTTAGCATTAGCTCTTCACAGCATGAATGTGAAGCCAGATGGAACCAAGTGGCTGAGTTGCAATCAGATATATTTTATACCACTTGACCATCTGAAAAACCATGGGACTTTTTAAATGATGATTTTATTGAGCTCCATTGCAGCCTGAAATTTTTAAAATAAGTTTTGTAATGAATTATTATCAGTCAATTTGTGTTTTTATCAGAAATTTGGACCTGTTTCTTGGCTCATTTTTTCGTGCTCTATGGGTACCTGTGAAAATTCTGAATATTGTTTCCTAGACAAACATTGCAGAGAAATTTCAACTCAGGGCTAAAGTCATCTGATAAATCTGTCATAGCCAGAAGTAACTTTGTCCCAGTCCTACAATGTGAAAAAGTGAAGAGTTGTCTCTTTTTTAGCCATTTTCATGGCTGGTACACATTACTTTTCAAAATCAGTACGCACTTTCAGATATTCTTATTTTTATTCTCTTAAGTCTTTATTAACTTTAGAGAAATAATGCATCTTTTTATGTTAAATGAGGTAGATCAACATGGCGGAACAAAATGATAAAAGAACAGAAAACATTTCAATATATTACTAATAATTTTTTCCAATATACAACCTGAAATTCCTATAACAGTATAGTATTTTACAGTTTTATGAAGCTTTCTATTGTGACTTTTATGGAATTAAGAGATGAAGAAGATGAGATATTTTAGCATTTATATTTTTCAAAATTAAATGTATACTTAAAATAAAGTTAACTTTATGCATTTATGAGTGTCATGTGCTTCTGTTCAAGTCTTTCAGTAATTATTGATTGCCTCTTATATCACTAGTTTGCATGTGACAATGACTACAAAGATGAATAAGGCTGAGTCTCTGTCCTCAGCTTATAAATCACTTGAGATAGGAGGGTAAAACAAGTATACAAAGAACTATCTATTTCAGTACTTACAATCTACTATAGTGGAAGGTATCAAAGCAAGGAGAAAAATACATATGTGAAAAAAATTATGTATGTGTGTGTATTTATGTACACACACGCACACAAACACACAGTGAAGACCCATGGAAATAGTCTGAAAAACTAGTGGTAGGTATCATTGCTCTTCTGTGAAGTTAATGAACTAAGTTATTTTTAAATAATTCTCATGAGCATTTACAGAGATTTTGGATTTCCATTCATTCATTGCTGCACTTCTCTCCCCGCCCAGCCCTTCGCCCC